AGCAAGCGTGCGGTTGATGATCGTGGCGAGAGAATGGAGGCTTGCTCCACTTCTTTTTTGACGAGAGAAGAGTCACAAATGTTGATCGACTTCTTTTCCGCCATACAACCCAGAAAATCGGGATGCTCTGATACCAATTTGGTGTAAACCAAATGAGAGAATTTTATTGATTGAAAAAACTACTAACAAATGAAGACAGCAGCCCCTTTTATAGAAGAGGGCTAAAGACATTTAACAAGAACTAACTAATAACAGCCAACCAACTAACTAAAAACAGCTAACCAACTAACTTCAGCCTTTAACTAATAACTAATAAAACTAATGGGTTAGTAATTACATCAAGGAGGCTATGACAATAAATGGAGAATTGGATTATAGCTTATGAGAAAAGGAGACAAGCAACTTCTAAAGGAGATATGCAACTTTTTAAAGATTAATTATGGTTTCAATATCTTAGTAGAAAACTTAGATCATAAGCTGTATGAGAAACATGAAACACTTTTCATTGGTTTGTTGAAAAGTACAACAAAAAGGATCCAAACAAGAGTTAGCATGATGCCAAACGAGAGCCCAACTAGATCATAACTAAGCTACCCACTATACTTCACAAAAATGCCCCCCAATCAGTACCAATTACGTTTGGGGAATAACTCCAAAAAGTATGTAAGGAAAAACAGAAGGGTCGAATTTCAGCTATTTCTATTGTTTCATTCCAATCTCTCTACCTTTGTCATTAAAGACTCATTTCTTTCTTCCGTATTCCCAAAGGGCTGCTTTCATCACGTTTAACCAAATTATATTGGCCTTTCATGAATCTATAACCATAAACATCTAGTACTTAATTAACCCATATGGATAGAAACACAAGACAAATAAAGAAATGGGAGAGTGAACACCAATTTTTCATGCCAAATTCCATCTCTTCAAGTCAGTTGCATAACTATGTATTCTATATTGTTGAGGCTTACGCCTATTAAGCCTCAAAGGTATACAAGTAGAGGCTTCCCTATCATCAGAGGCATAAGCCTCTTTTTATTTGGCATAAGGCTTACTTTACTCAGTTACTGCAGCCTCACCTCAAGGGAGATTGAAAACATTGCTCATATTTCACTACTTCTAAACACAGTCCCTTTTGACTCTATTTCCTATTGACCATATTATGAGAGATCTGGAAGCCGAATGAAAGAAGAAACTATTAAGTAAAAAACAGAAATATCAATACATTTGGATTGAATTCATTTTGCTGCCTCCATTTGGTTCTCAATAAAAAATGCGTAGTGTCTTGCCATTTTTATTTTACAAAATAGAGTTTTCCTCTAATCCCCGGTGGTTTCTCAATCCAGCATTCAAAAGTCAAAACCTAGTCTTTTTTTGGCTAGTTAGATTGTTACAATTTCCCATCTTATTTGATACAAACAAAAGTTCGTTCCCAATATATAAATATATTATAAGGCATAATGACATAGGATTTAGAATCTATCAGGGCATGACATTGAAATATTTACAAAAGAGGGATTCAAAAAATATTCAAAACACTGACGTTCTTAAAATGAATGCAAATTTGAGTGCAAGTTGTCCAGCAACAAGGTTCAGATTATGAATATGGAACAAAAGGCCAAGATATATTAGTCTCCATAAAGCATATCTGCCATTTTCTAACAGAAATTATTTTCCAGCACGGACAAAAATATCAACAATAAATAGAGAACAAGATAAAGAATTAGACCAAACAAAACAATACCATGAACGCGATAAGTTCAACAATACTATACCTCATAGCCATGTGTGAGTACTTTAACCTTCTTCTCAAGCCGCACAGCCTTCTCAGTATCATCGTCCATTTTCTTTTTAACATACTCAAATTCATCCTGCAGGGCAGCTAGTTTCTCGAGGTTTCCAGCAACACTGGAAAGTCCATAAGCATTTCTAGTGGGGAAGTACATAAGATCATTCAAGCAGGTTTTGTGAGCTTCCACAAATTCATCTAACGATTCAATTTCATGCCCCATTGCAACACAGATATACTGCGCCTCTTGCTTTATCAAATGATCAGCCTGTTTCAAAGAACCTAATTAGTAAAGGTTCATGTACAAATAAATAAAGGGAAATGAAAACATCAGATAAATGGAAGGAAATTCCTTCGCTATATTAGGAAAGTAAGAATCCATGAAATGCACACACAAGGTTTTCATATAAAAGTTCAGTAACAACTCAAGGTTCCCCTTCATGGAACCAAAGAAAAAAAAATGTTCAAAATAAATAAGAGCGACTCTTTCGTTAACCATAAACCTCTGTACCTCTGTGAACGAGAAGAACAGAATCTAACAGTTGCTACCTTATGTCATTAACTTCTTACAATTTATAGACAACACGTAGGAATAGGGAAATCCTTTAAGATGCTACCAGCCCAACACAAAGGTGCATAACACGACAAAAACCTTGCATGAGAGCTTTCAATGGAAATAATGTGAGACATAACCCATCACAACAAAGGATGTTAAATCGAATGCCCATATTTGCATTGCAGACCTTTATCTTGCAATGCAGACTGGAGTAAAAATGTAAAATCCACCCTATGCTTCAGGATTCTTTTAAATAAAAGGAAATTTCAAGGCTGCAGACAATGTCTTAATTGACTCCAACATGGACAATAATAAAGAAGATGAGATAAGATAACAAGCATGGAAGACCTTACTACAAGTACATATAGTTTTGAATCATGGTATACTATGACCCCATGCATATTAGTATATTGCAATAACCCTAAGCAACTTATTAACCTATAAATTTTTTTAAAAGAAGATGAACTCAATGGAGTGACAAAAAGGACATCTATCTGACCAAAAGTAACATAAGGCTATTGTCAGAAAAGGAGTTTTGCATTTACACCAACATAGAGCCACAGAGAACATAATTCAAAAAAGAGTCATATCATCCTATAAATCAAACACTTCAACTTGAGCAATGTGTCCATGTTTAACACATTGGACACTCCAATACTTCAACTTCGATGCTTGTTGGACTGGACATGATGTCAAATACTTGTTAAAAACAATAGATACATACGCATATTGGACACTTGTTGAATAATTTAAATACAAAATAAACACTTGTTTTCTTTCATACCACAACCCATACACTAATGCCTTAACACCAACAAAATAAACACTTGTTAGGCATGGTAAACAAACGGTCAATACTTGTAAATATATCTTAAACTAAGACGTTCTATCTTTTATGCCTTTCATCCTTTTTTTTTTTTGGGATATCCGTGAGTGTCTGGGCCAACTTGCGCGCACCTCGACTAATCTCACGAGAGAACCGTCCGACCCTACTACATTTGGTTGCCTAGGTAACTTGTAAGATATTAAATCCTAGATAGGTGACCATCATGGTTTGAATCCATTCCATCTAAGCCCCTTGCTATTTACTTTGAAAATATTGTTGGACATAAAAAGAAATATATGGAAAAATAATAAATTTTGAGAGTGAAAAACATCGAACTTATTATTAAAGCTTATAAATGCATAAGCACTATAAATTTCCTTTCTGGTAAAATGTTTGATCATTTATAAAAAGTTAAGTTAGCATTTAAAACCTAGGAGTGCTTTCATAGACCTGGATAGTTTGTTCTTCCTTCTGCTAGGGAGTTTGTATCTTTGAGCATTTTTTTTTTCATTACATCAATGAAAGATCTTTGTTTATTGTTGGGGAAAAAAAAGAGAAGTAAAGAAACCTAGGATATAATTATCCAGATTATATGTTAAAAACATATAGATGGGATTTCTAAGGGATGAATAATAGAGAATGAGCTAATCTAAAATTCAATATTCATTATGCCTGACCAAATTTTTACTACATAATTAATTAGTTAACTTTCATGTTGTAAATAATCAATTTGTTTAGACCTACACCTGTGTTTCCTCTCCCTCTCTAGTTAAAATTAATATTTTAATTAATTAATAATAATTCCATTCCATGCAAGTTAAACTTAATTAGACTTTAGTTAATATTTTAATATCAGTTTTAAAATTTTTATTCTTTAATAAATTAACCAAATAATAAACATACTGTATATTAATAAAAACAACTTTGATTAATTATTAATGTTAAACAATTAATTAACACTTAACTGTTTAATACCTATTTTTTAATTAAATAATTTTTCCATGAAAAGTACTGCTAAACAAAAAACAATTTTCTCAGATGGTATCTCAAAAAAAATCCTCAGAGATAGTATTCTCCTGAAAATCCATTTAATAATTTAATAATAGACATTTATATCTCCCATATTTAATATCCATATCCATGAAATAATGCCCGAGAACCAAACAAGCCATAAAACAAATTATACTGCTCATCTTGGTACTCTTGAATACACCGAGGCCAAAAGTCTAAACACCCAGCAGCTGCAACTGGCAACTACCACCATCACTAGAACCAACACTAGCACAACAAATGTGTGCTCAGATTTGTCCCCTTTCCTCCTTAGCTTCCTACACCTTTTAAAATCAAAATCACCCTGTCATCCAAACCTGCCTCCCAAATTCTAATAGGAACTTCTGCTCTTCATCCTACTATTGGACACACTTGGGTAAAAATACTAAAGGAAGTGCTAAAACCAATAAACAGAATCCAATGGTACAATAAAAGTAGTGTAAAAATACTAAACGAAGTGCTAAAACCGATAAGCAGAATCCAATGGTACAAGAAAAGTAGCTAACCCAATGGCATGACCATAAATAATAGGGATCAAAGGAACATTGTTCTCATAAGAACCATGTGCAATGGTAACCTTGTCTTCCACAGGTTTTTTGCCCACAAAAGAAAAACATAAATTCAAGTTTATGTATGAAGAATACCAGATCAAATTTTAGATCTAAAAGAAAATACCTCCAATAAAGCAAGTTCCTTGTATAAAATAATAATAATAATAATAATAATAGTCAAAAAATGACACAAAATTGGTTTCTCTAAACAAGCAACAATGATAAGAAAAGTGCAAGTTGAACATTTAACAATGGTTAGGAAGATTGTACGTACCTCTTCCATCTCATTTTCTTCAAAATCTTCTATTGTGGGGATAGCAGCAGCAGGTCCATTTCCAATGCGCTTGGAACCTTTCTTTTTCTCCTTGTTGATCTTCTCATCAATTGGGTACTTCGCATTATCATGCTCCAATAAAGCAAGAAGTTCCTTTCTTATTATTTCATCAGCCTGCTCAATAGGGGTAGGTGGAACAAATGAACTCTTGTCTCCATCAGCTCTCATCAAAGAATTTCTAATAAGTTCCAAAGAAGCAGTAGGAGGCCGAGGAAGCTCCCTCTGTAGCACTTTTGATCTTTTCCTAAGTAATGCTTGCTGCCTTGCTTCTTCTTCAGCCCGTTCTCTAGCAATCCTGTCAGACATATCCTCTTCAATCATCTCCTCTGGTTCTTCTTTGTCTTCCGGAATTGGTTGCATAACTACCTGGTACTCATTTTTAGGCTGCGGAAGGCTGCCTAGTCCTAAGCGAAGATTTCTCCTCAAATCAGCTTGCCTTTGAGACTCAAGTTTTGCACTATCAAGCACATCCATATCTTCATTGATATGTAGCTCATCCCTAATAGGTGTTCCTTTTGGAGTCATACCAAATGAATAAGCATCGCCCCTCGCTGGTGTCATGCCAGTTCGAGGAGTGAGACCAACACCACCAGGAGTTGCTGAGGGTGTCAGCATAGGATTTGGTGTTTGAATCTCCTTTTTCCTTGGGGTAACCCCTGAAAAATCTGAAGGATGCAGCTCCGGATTCTCTCCTCCCAATAATGGAGTCTGAGATTCTCTCAGCCTAGCAAGATTTTCGGCTTCCATCATTATAGCATCACCCTTCCCAGCCGGCGTCCTTTGTGGAGTTCGAAAAGGTGTCATTCCTTGACGTGGTGTCTGTGCATAACTAGCAAGAAGAGCTCGTGTAGCACCACTTCCTTCTGCAAGCTCCTCATTACCAGCAAGAAGATCACTGGCATATCCCATCTTTGCAATTTCCTCCAATTCATGGTCTGAAATTTGGGGTGCAGGAAGCATGAGTTTAGATCTTTTCCTCACCATTTCTGGATCATTTAGCTTATTTGCTTGCAGTACAGCTGATGGAGCATCTTGTCTCTGAGCAATTTTATTCTTTGCAATATCTTGCTTCCTTAATTGAGCTTCTACGTCAATCCTTCTTTTGCCTTCAAGTTCTTCAATTGTTGTTGGAAACTTGGGCTGTTCCACTGGTCTATCTTCCTCACTAACATCAAAAAAACCTGGAGGAGGCCTTTTCTCAAAAGGAATTTCTGCATTGTAATCTATTCCTTTTCTCTTTCTCTTCCGATGTCGAGTGTCAATCCCTGCAGCTTTAAGCTCTCTCCTTTTTTGAAGTGAAGCAAGCCTTCTTGCTTCTTCCAGCTGTTTCTCTCTGGCTTTTCTTTTTGCCTTCTTTCCCCTAGTATTTGCTAACCTTGCTCGTGCTTCGGAAAGCATTTCCTTCTCATCTTCATCCATGTCAACAGGATCAGGACGTGCAGGCTTTGATTCTGGGTTTGGGTCAATTTCTCCCGGACGCAATTTTCTTGGGTCATCTCCTGGTTCGTAATTCTCATCCTTAACACAAGCAGCATCAAGGAGTTTCTCGTACCGCTCGAGGCATTGGGATGGAGTACGCCCGACAATTGGTGCAATAGTTCTCCACTGGGTTGGCATGAGTTTAGCAAGATGGAGTAGTTTCTCATCCTCCTCTCTTGTCCACTCAGTCTATAGTAATCATGGAAATCAAATGGTCAGTCCAAAGAACCTACCACAACAAAGAAATTGAGGTGACTTTCCAGATTGCAACACTAGGGAGATGAAAGCACAAAAATGGAGAGCATCGATTACAAATATTCTGACATGGAAAGAAAATTAGGGAAGAAAACATGTTCACTTGACAATTGAATGATAAATACTGGAAAAGTAGATAACAAACTATACTAAGCTTCAAAACACAGAACCCAACTAATCTAAAAATAATTTCCAAATATCAAGCATTAACATAATTATCACTATCATTCCATGAGAAAGGCACGCTCTTCCCCCACCAGGTGAATAATCTTCTTTCCCTTCGAAATTCTCTTATCCACTTACCTTTTTCTGCTCCCTTTAACAACGTCAACAGAAAGACCAAAGGAAAATATGGAAACCAATTCTGCGAGACTCTTCCATTCTTGAATATCCTAAATGCATGGCACTAGATAGTTTCACTAGTTACCACCACTCAGCACTCTTCCTGAAAGGCATGGATTATCATCTCATCTGTCTTTTTTTAACCTAAATCACTGCTAATATAGATTTCCCAAGTTTTAACCATTTAATCCGAACCAAAATAAGACCGAAACTATTTTCCCACACCGCCCCCTCCCCTTTCCAGTACTCAGTTACAAAAACAAGAAGAAGAAAAAAATGCAAAATTAAGAAGCCAGTGAAAGGGAGAAAGAAAAGCACCTTTTTAATGGAGGGGTCAAGCCACTCATACCATCGAGCTTTGCACTGCTTGGCAGATTTCCGAACGAGAAGCGACGAGATTCGAGCCCACTGGTTTTTTCCATATTTCATAACCGCAGCTTTAAGGATCTCATCCTCCGTGTTCTTCCACACACCACCTTTGATCATAATCCTCATTTTTCCTAGCTTTTTAGATTTACCCTCTTCACTCTACGGTCTAGGGACACTAGGGTTTTGCAGGAGACAGACAGACGAAGAAGAAGTCGCAGTGGAAAGACAAGAAACTGCTACAAAACGAATAAAAGGGCCCTCTCATAAGCCACGCCATCATAATGAGTGGAGAAAAATGACAAATGAAGATTACTTACCGAGAGAGGGTTGGGGGAGGCGAGTGAGAGAGGCGGCGGCGAGCTGCGAGCGGCGAGCTCGAGAAGCAGAGCGGCGGCGCCGGCGCCGGCGAGAGACGAACGGGAAACGGGAGATCGCGGCGAGAGGGAGAGAGGCGGCGAGAGGGGAGGGTGGAGGTCTGTAAATGGCGCAGAGAGTGAGATGAGAATTGGGAAGAAAATGTTAACAGAGAGTTGTATATTATTTTCGAAAAGGCCACTGGGCGGGCCTAAAGTATGGTTAGTTCCAATCTTATTTATTTAATTTGTTCAAAAAAAAAAAAAAAGAACTCTCTACTCCCTTCTGATATATTATTAAATTAATGATTTAAATGATAAAAGCGAGCATAACTCAGCAGACATATATCTTGGTAAATATTTTTTAAATATATCCATAAATTTGCATTAAAGAGTTTCCACGGTGATCAATAAAAATAGGAACCAAAATTGTCATTTTTTAAAAATATAGGGACCAAAATGGTTTTTTTTAAGTATTAAAATGAACAAGAATTTAAAGAACAAAGACCAAAATGAAACCGAGACCAAAAGTATAAGAACCAAAATAGTATTTAAATCTAAATAAATTTATAATAGTTGGATGTAAGTTTGAAACTTGTATGTTTTTCTTTTTAATTCAACAATACATAGGAGTGAGGATTCTAACTTCTTGCGATGATATATGTCTAGACCAATTAAATTATACTCAGATAGGTAGAAATTTGTATGAATAACAATTCAATATGATGTACAAAATATTGGTTTTTAAATCTCTCTCGTGTACCAAATGGTATAAAATCAACTACATATTTTGTAATAAAGAAGTGAATCATCACGGAGAGCATAAAGGAAGTCGACAAAATGAACCAACTCATATGAAGATTTAGAGTGTTCATCCATGTCAAAGAAGGCCTACGAAGTGATGGAGGAGCCTATTTTTACTCCAATTTCGAGAAGGTTGTTTACATTCTTCTAAGGTAAATTTTTGAAATTGGAGGTAAGTTACTAAATTTTCTAATCATTCAAGCTCTCTATATAGCAACTCAATCTCCTTTCTTAATATCAATCATATCAATATGTTGTAGGAAGAAGAAGAAAATAACAAAAATCAAACCAGATTGGTTAAAAATAAAAAAAATATCCCGAGCGACATTTTTGTCGACATGTCGACGACATGGGGTGAAAAACGACTTTCTCCCCCATGTCGATGTCGAGACCGTCGACACGTCAACATGTCGAGCAAAATTTAAAACAATGAGGATGACAAAAATTTCCATAGTGTCGAGTCCCCGCCCCATAAATAGGAAAGGTATGTCTCAACCCCATCCCCAGTTAGTTATTAACTAACGTATATTTTATTAACATATTTACTAAATTGTGAATAAAATATTAAATATTTTTTAAAATTAATTATTTATAATAGTAAATATTAATTCTAAAAATAATTAATATATATTTATTACATTTAATTATTTTTTAAATTCTAAAAATAATTAAAATTAATTATAAAATCGGTAATTCTTTCCACGAATATCTACATCTCCAAATAAGAATTCTTTAACATAGTTCTCGATCCTGAGTGGAAATGATGGACTAAAAATTTTAACGAACACGATAATGAAGGAGTGCATATTCACTCCGACCCCACACCATTATCATCACTACTCTACATAGAACTTTCTCTTTAATATATATTTTCAATTTTCTAACTTTTTAAAAAGCAGGCAACTAAAAACGGTTTTGTTTTCTGTTTTTTTTAAGTTATTTATTATCTTTTTTTAAAGAAAAACTTATTAATCATATATGACTTTTATTTTTTGAAAACATAAAATTAAAAATAGAAAATCGAAAAACCAAAAACAAAAAACCAAAACAAAAATTGTTATCAAATAGACCCTAAATTAATATATTTTTTTTGTCGAGTCAATAAGTATAGTCAAATAATTTAATTGACACGTCATTTCAATGTTAGTTAACTAAGGATCAAAGTAGTTTAGTGATAATTTAGAACTATTTCTCAAATCACATGAACCAAAAGTAATAACCATACCTAAATGGAAAAAAATAAAGTAAACCTTGAAATTACCAACAACAATTAGACTAAATAGACCATAAATGATGTATAATTGAAAATAATATCTTCTTGGTTCAAAAGTAGGTAGTAGCTATACCATTTAAAATTAAGATTTAAATATCCTACAAATTTATATATTTTCTGATTTTTCAGTTTTTAAAAATTGAAATATTTCTACAGAACAATTTTCATTTTTCCTTTCTTTTCATCCTCTTATAATTGACTTGAATATATGAATTTTAGGAAAAGTTGATTGAGACATTTTTCCTTCTCTTAAAGAAGAATAACCATGGAAAGAACACCATTTAAGGAAAAATCCGAGAACAAAAAAAAAACTGACGGAAAAATCTGGGACCAAATTACGTATTAAAAGAAAAAATGACCAAAATTAAAGTCAAACCTAGGCCGTTGGGATCACAAAGAGGTCTGAGGCACACGGCTACTTCTACGCCAAAATTAGAATCATTACCCTTGTGACGTGACGGTAACACAATTCTAGACATTTTTTTTGTAGGAACACAAGGATAATAGTGGTACTATAACTTTCATCAATTGGTTATCTTTTTAGGTTTTTAGGTTTTGAGTTAATATTGTTGATGATTGTTTGTATGTACAAAATAAAATAGACGAAAAGTAATTGTGTGACACCAATAATGCCCAGAAAAATCTTGAAATTGAAATGGGAAAAGATTTCTTATTTATTTACCATAAGGAGTCTAATCTATGCTAAGGAATGTACAACTTTGGATAGTGTACATTGTCGAGATGTCGATGTCGATGTCGATGTTTCAAGAAAAATCACGAAAATTGTAGATATTGATACAAATCTTTTGAATTAATAAATAAAGTTTTAATTGTAGCTCACTTTTATTTATGATATGTAATAATATGAGTAAGTTACCCTATGGAAATGCGATGTCGATGGATGGAAATATCGGAACAAGATAATAAAAATTGATGAGAATTATTTAAATTAGTAAATTAAAGTTAAATGTTAATTATATTTTATTAATTAATTAAATCTAATTTTTAGTTACAGAATTTCGATAAGAATATAGAAGATGGAGAAATAAAAAGAATTGCTTAATATAGTTAAAACAAATGATACAATAAAACAAATATTAGTCTAAATAAATAATAAAGAAAAAAGACATGATAGCATAGCATCTACCCATCGTGTATAAAATAAAAAAAAGAGGAACAGAGGGAGAGAAGGGGAAAAAAAAGTGAAATATAAAATTTTGATTAAAAAAAAGATTTTCTCATTAAGTATTTATGAAAATAAAAGATTTTCGCGAGGTCCTGGAGTATATTATGTCTTTAATTATGTTGGAGGTCAAAATAGCATAGAGGGTGTTGGAATTTTTTGAATAATTTTTTTTTTTGTTAAAATTGAATAATCACAAYTTTTCATGAATTGGTGCGTTTTTTGTAAAGGTTATGTCCTCTTATCAGAATACATAACTTTGCCAGATATGACTATTTGAATGACCACAAATAGTCTATAAATACGTGGTTCTACGAGTATTTAAATACTGTGAGTTTGTTGATTCTTGTGTGTGAAGTGCTGCATTCACAACTGGTTGGTATATTCGTCATATCCAGGAAGACAATTGTTCATGAAACCTTGAGCACCGTAGATGGAACAAAATTGTTTTAAAGAAACAACGCTATGTTGGATTCGGAAGTTTATTTTCGCGTTTCCTTAAGTTTTTAATTCATATTTCTCTTACAGAGGGTTCATCTAAATAAATCAGTTATACTATAGGGAGTTCATCTAAGTCCATATAAATATTAAGTTTCTAATCGTGAAGTAAATATTATAGAGTTGACATATATCAAGCGCACATTGGTACAAATTTCATGATGACAAATCCGCTCACAAATAAATTACAACCTGTTTATGCAAGGATATGCACAACAGTGTATTTTCGATTACAGCTCGAACTCGGCCCCCGGACCGATCTGAATACTTGGGCGGACCTGCACAGAAAGGTGAGCACTCCGACGATCAAGTCAGTACAGATCGGACTCTTAGTTTAGTTCAAGGTCAGAAATCATCGTACCTGATCGTGGAGTGAGGTCCTCTACTTATGGGTGGTAGTCCCGCCAATCTCGCGACGGTTACACCCGGTAATCTCGGGACCGACGGTTACACCCGGTAATC